TTGGGAGTTTAAAAACCTCCTCCAACTTCGTCGTTGTGGTGCACTAAAATAACGCTAATGGGTATCTTATTACTTTTCATAAGAAATGACCATTTCAACCAAGCGTCTTAGGAGAGTCAACCTTGGAAGGAACGAAGAATCGGGGGTCGATCCGACACCGTCCCCTACCACACCCACCTCTCATAGACAGTTATTTTGTAATTAAAGACAAGTTTATCCTTGTGGTAACTACGTCTTTTAATACACATTTATGTTGTAAGACGCATGCTTATCACAATATGTCGTACCACAATGTTAAACTAGTCTCAAATTACAAAACAACTGTCTATTAGAGGTGGGTGTGGTGGGGGACGGTGGCGGATCGACCCCCGATTTTTCGTTCCTTCCAAGGTTAACATTTCCCCTCAGACAATTGGCTGAGATGTCACCCAAAAGACTTTTCCTTTAAAATACAGCATGGACGCACACCGTACTTTACGTTAAGTGCACCACTAGGAAGAAGTTGGCGTCTTTTTTAGGCTACCAGTTTGCACTTATTTTCAAGGGTGAATTTTTTCCGGCATTCTTTCGTGAAGGAGGCAGAGATACCTGCGAAATAAAAAGAAATAAACGATTAACTTACTTGTTATAGTTTTAGAGAGGGCTTCATATGAGAACTATAACGTTCGGTTCAACTTTCCACATAAGTTATACTCACCAGAATATTAAGTATCATTACCAATTTTTGCTTTCTTTCTAGGGTTGATATTTGTTTTGTTTTGTGCAACAAATCTTAAAACACATGCGTATTATGCGATGTTGAAACCACAATGTAGAAAACTTTTACAAAGACTTAAAAAAAACTTTCTATAAGTCGCGCGTGTGACTGGGGACGGAAAGACCTTCAACTTTCACTTTCCATCCTAGGTTGATATTTTTTGTCTTGCGTAGCCATAATTCCATGCCTATCAGATGTTGGCACAAAAGTAAGAAACTTTTATAAAGAGATAGGAAAACTGTCTAAAAGACTCTTTGACTTGAGATGGTCCTTTCTCACTACCTTTACAAAGGCACGAATACACAACATGTGGCAGGAATGCGAGAACGTAGCTAAGATTTTTCAAAGGGAGGGGGGGGGGTCACACTGTCAAACAAATGAAACTCACCAGATTGTCAAGTCGACCTCCATGCCGTGTTTACTCGGAAAGATCCTCATCTCCAAAACATACCATGGGTTACTTTGAACAGAGAGAACAGGATTTCAATTGTGCCCCAATGGCAAGAAAATGTGTGACAAGAAAATGTGGGGTGTCATTGGCACCCCAGGGTGCTGCAGTGAAAAACAGAGTGGAAAACTGAGAAAATTCAAAGCGCACTCTCACCTACCCCCACACTGTCCTCCCACATGGAAGTATACCAACCATTTTAGTCTAACGACCTCTAGTTTGAATTAGCGATGAGATGGAGCTATCCAGAAATCTCACTTTGAAGAGTTCAGCAATCAATAATTCATCTCTCCCACATGAAGTATGCCAACCACTCCAGTCTAACAACCTGTGGTTGAATTAGCGACGAGATGGAGGTATCCAGACATCTCACTTTGAATAGTTCAGCAATCAATTACCCATCTCTTGTACACAGTTCAAGATCCGTTCAGCACAGCAAGACAGTTCAGTTTCTGAAATAGTTTTCTTTCCCTTCTCTTTTTTTTTTTTCGGTGGACCAGGTGAGCATCTCAAAGCAAGACTAAGGAAGGGACTTTATAGGTGAGGCCAGTTCCATTGCAGGTCAGCTGTTAATCACACCATCTCTTATACACAGTTTAAGATGCGCTCAGCGCAGCAAGACAGTCCAGTTTCCAAAACAGTTTTCACATTCTCCTCTTTGTTTTTGATGGACTAAGTCTTAGAGCAACTGTGAAAGAGATTTTAAGGGTGAAGCTGACACCATTGCAGGTCTGCTGTTAGTCACACCTTCTCTTGTACACAGTTCAAGACAGTCCAGTTTCCAAACACTTTTCAATTCACACTCTTCTCTTTGTTTTTTTAGTGGACAAAGTCTTGGCATTCCAGATCACAACTGTGGAAGAGATTTTAAGGGTGAAGCCGACACTATCACGGGTCAGCTATCAGTCACCCATCTCTTGCACAGTTCAAGATCTGTTCATCACAGCAAGACAGTCCAGTTTCCAAAACAGTTTTCACACTCTTCTCTTTGTTTTTTGGTGGACCAAGTCTTCGCATACTAGATCACAACTGTGGAAGAGACTTTAAGGGTGAAGCTGACGCCATCACGGGTCAGCTATCAGTCACCCATCTCTTTTGCATAGTTCAAGATCTGTTCATCATAGCAAGACAGTCCAGTTTCCAAAACAGTTTTCACGCTCTTCTCTCTCCCTCTTTTTTTTTTTTTCTTTTTTTCGGTGATCACAACTGTAAAAGAGACTTTGAGGGTGAAGCAGACGCCATCACAGGTCAGCTATTGGTCACCCATCCCTTGTGCACAGTTCAAGATCTGTTCAGCACAGCAAGACAGTCTACTTTCCAAAACAGTTTCCACGCTCTTCTCTATTCCTTTTGGCGAACCAGGTCTAAGCATCCCAGATCACAACTGACGCCATTGCGGTTGGCTATTAGTCACTCATCTCTCGTACACAGCTTGAGATCCATAAAAGAGCTAAGTGTGGCGGGGAACAGTAAAAGGATAAACCCCAATTTATTTGCCTTCCATGGTTGATATTTTTCCATCACCTCTTTCTCAAATGGTCATAAATACCTGTGAAATATAGAGAATAGTTGCTGTAAGAAATTGAACTTCAGAGAGGTTGAGAAGCTGTAAAATCTTGACAATCAGTTACCATTATCAATGAGGATTAGACTCCCATTTAAACTATACTGCAACAATTAATTTCACCAGAAAGCAGGATACCCTTGTCTCCCTCTATGTTTTAAAACCTGTCATATTTTCATATGAGAAATTGAAAAGGACCATAAGAAAAAAAATTCAATAATACTAAAAAGAATCACAAGAACATGTAACCGAATCCTCATCACCTTGAGCCTCATTGCTATATTGGGAAGAGGTAAAGGATGTGAGATCCAAATTGTTGGTTCTAGTTGAAGTTATCTATAATTTAAAGAAATTTATAAAATTTGCAGTAACCTTTTCTAGTTTACATCCTCTGCTGGAGGTTGGACAAAAGTGCAAAGGCACCTCGCTATTGCTAGCGGTGAAACTTGATTGCTGCATATTTAGTGATTTTGCGATTAAATATTAAGCAATGACTTTTGCCCCTGCTCTCAGATTCCTCTTTAATCCCTGTTTTTTCGTTTCTTTTTTTTTTACCTCGAAGAGAGTTTACGAAAAAAATAAGACAAATCAAATATTGATCCCAACAAAAACAGCAAGTCTCAATGGCAACACTTGCTCTACAAGATAGCTTTTCACTTTCTCACAGTGCATGATCACTAGGCACTGTGGTTTGATACACCAATACTGCGACAAAAAAACGTTCTTTGAGTTACTGGCAGATAAAGATAACATTAATGTCTTTAAAGGGGTTGTATTGTTGCTAATTGGTTAGCTTCTTATCAAGGACATGATTTAGAAGAAATTATGGATTCTTTCAACATCATCTTCTACATAACAATAAGGAAGAGTGAGATCGGAAACTGAGTTACATGGTTAGACTATTTAAATCACCATGGCGACTAATTCTGGTATGGGTGACTAGATTTGGATCCAATTTGCTAAAATGGTTAGCGACGAAAGAGGTGTTAAATTACCCTGAAAGTTTATTATTCTCCCTTACGATAATATCAGTCACAAACAAACACACATGCTATTTGCAAAACACTTGATTCCATGTTTCCAGCAGAGTATGCTTCACGAGCTAAACTGAGTAACCTTTTCTAACTACACAGGCTTTCAAGATGTAAATTAAAAATTAATTTTGGAGTTGACAAACAAGCATGGAAAAGAGAACTCCCAAATTAAATTTGGTACGTAACATTGTTAACAATAGTCACAGACTCAAGGGACGGGAAACCTTGCAGCGTAAGTAAGTTTATGATACAAAAAATTCTTATTAGATACACCTTCTGTCGCTGAATTTTTCTTCTGAGACAACTCTGCAGTATTTGTAATAGCTTTCATTTAAGCTTTTCAAACAATACCCAAAACCCTTCTCCAAGTTCTAGTATTTCACTCTAACTGTAATTCCACTTGATTGACCCTTAAGCATCTTAAAGCATCTTATCGATAAGGCACAATAGAGTTTGAAACTAATAACATTTTTTCCATTCAGTAAAAACTGTCCATAACATTTTCCTATAGCATACTAATGTATGCTAGATATATAGCAGAACCATTGCTAAACAGTCACATTAACCAATGTCTTGTCACTGTCTTTGTTTATGTACTTTCATCAAAAATGGTAGATATCTACCAAAATGGTAAAAGACAAGGTAAATATGCATTACTCTCACCAGCACTGAGGCGGGAACAATAATATTTTATTGAAACTTATTCCTAGTTTTAGAGAAAATTTAATTTCAAATATCTTGGGAGCCAGGACACCTCAACTGTAAAATAATCTCTTTAAAAACTTTATATGTCTTCATAGGTAGCTTCAGAAAAATGTAGTTCATAAATGATTGTTTTTTTTTTTGACAAGTCACAGTTATTAAAATGTCTTCATTAGTACTTGTAACAAAATTTAGTTCATTTATATATCTTTTTAACAGCCACACATAAACTGGAAGGTACGAGATGTCTAAAGTGTCATTTTTGCTCCTGTTGTGGTATCAGAATAGGAAGTTCATTCCATCCATTTTACGATTTAAATAAAAAAGGCTGCCATATTGTGTTTGCTTTCTACCAGTTCCGAGTGTTTTATCTTTTATGACGCAAACTGCGTCACAAATTAAAGCAACATGGCACAGAGAACACGAGCTCTAATAAAGAAAACTAAAGAAAATAAATGGACAAAAAATAGCGATATGCCAGATGAA